TCAAAAAGGATACACAGAATCGCAGCTTCTTAGGTTTCCGCGCCCACAACCTAGGATTGTGGAGAGACACACAGGAGCCATTACTGAGGTGATTGACCCTCACTGGGTAATCAAAATCAGGCACCCGGGCACAGGATCAGGGTGCAAAAGACCCCAGATCTGCAGGCATTGATCTGGGCTACCACCCACATTCTGGATCTGAGGGCTTTGGAACTGAGAACCGGAGCATGAAATTTGGGGTGTGGGATTCCCATGATGCAGGGCTCAGGGCAGGCACAGCACCCCACAGCCATTGAGGCGCTCCACTCCACCCTCTCTCTCTGTTCCCCAGAGACATATGGGGGAAAAGCAGCTCTGGATGGATACTAGGAAAGGTCTCCGGCGCCACCTAGTGATCAAAACAAAATTGCCAAATACCTGATAGTTGGAAGCCAGGGATTCCAAAACCACCCTCTGGCTCTGAGAGGGGGTGGGCCACGCAAACAGGGGTGAGAAGGGAAATGAGGCAAGGAGCTGAAGCTACTGAAGCTCCAATGTGACAGCTCGCATTCTGGAACTGAGATCCAGGTACAGGATCCGGGGCATGGGGCAGGCCATAGCAGTGGGCACCACAGAGGGTGACAGCCTGCATTTGGGATCTGAGAGCCCTGGAACTGAGACCTATGGCGCAGAATTCAGGGCATGGGAGCTGCACAGCTGTGGGCACAGTGCCGGGTGAACCCAGTGCAGACTCAGCACCCAGCATGAGCAATAGCCCCTGTGTTGAGGTGCTCCCTTCCCTCATCCCTGTTTCCCAGAGATCTACTGGGAAAAAGCACAGGTCAGAAAGTACAGGTCTCCTGCGGCACCTAGTAACCAGAACAAAATCGCCAACTAGCTGATAGTTGGAGGGAAGGGACTTCCTTCTGGAACTGAGTAAATACAGAGGGACAGAACCATAAAGGACAGTGCCCAGCAACACAACCACAGCATCAATACCCCAGGGGAGTTTTGGTCTAACAGTACTGGTCTCAGTCTGGTAAACAGTTTCCAACACCCCTGAAGGAGCAACCCAAAGAGATGCCTGCCAACACCAGTGGCACAATGTCCCAATGCATAGAACTAATTAGAACGCAAACAGCAGGGAGAAGGAAAAATATAAATAACCTGCGGGGAAGGACTAACCACAAAAAGAAAATCAGTCACCAGAACTCAACAACAATGACATGGAAGAACTTCTCTGCCTGTCAGAGAATTCAGAATCATCATGATTAAAAAGCATAAAGAAAACGAACAGGAAAAAAAGATAAGAGACAAATAATCAATGAACTGAAGAATGAAAATGAGACCTTAAAAGAAACACAGGCAATTAAAAGATTACTGGAAGAGATAAAGAACACTGGGGAAAGCAATGAAAACAGAATTGATAAAATGGAAGAACAGATCAGTACTCTGGAAGATACAGAAATAAAAAGAGAGAGAGAAATACAAAGGAAAAGAATAAGGAAACTTTTTGACAATTATCAGACTCCATGAAGGAAAGGAAATATAAGAGTTATAGGGATTCCAGAAGGTGAGGAGAGAGACAAAGAAACGGAGAAATTATTCAAGGAGATACTTGAAGAGAATGTCCCAAGCATGAAAAATGAGATCAATATAAACTGTTGAATAAATAAGCATGTGAGTTTCTTAAAGGAGATTTTTTTAACCTATTTAAAGTATTGACAAAATGGTGTTTGAAAGTATAAGATAGCATAACATAGCATGATAATGATACCTATAAGACAGCATGATAATGTTCTGCTATTTTTAAGTTCCATGCTCAGTTTCCAAATGGGAAATCCTGATTCCATAAATTCTGAATATTGTTCTTATCAGTGCCTTCATTCAGCAGATATCTACACATTTATTCATATATTTTGATAAAGATATAAAAGAATATCACTGTGTCTAAGTCATTTTTTGTTCTTGTACCTTTTTTTAACAAATAGGATACTCGATAAGGAAAAGTAAGCTCTTCTTTGATAGAGATTTCTACTTTATAGAAAGAAAGATAAGAAGAAGCAAAAAAAAAAAAGTGGTGGAAATGGAAAGATTTTATGGACTATTAGTTCAATATTCCCCGAGTTCCCAGAGAGGAGTACAATTTTGTGACTAAGTTATTAAAGGCTTGTATCACTTGTTTGTTCCTCAAAGAGTAAATAAATGGGTTCAACATGGGGGAGATGGAAGTAGGTAATCCTGCCTGCCTTCCAGCCAGTCTGTACCTAAACCTGAGAGACGAGACTCAGGAAACAGGAAAAAAAGATTTTCAAATGAATTTTTGGTTAGATAAGATAAGCAATACATTTTATTTGACTAGATGACTTTTTAAAGTTATTTATGCTTTCCTCTCTCCTAAATGTCATTTTATTGTTTGAAATCTTGTTTTTTCAAACATCTGAGTACAATATATAGGAGAAATACATTTTGTATTGCAATCCAGTCAATATGTATGCATAAATACTCACATATTATTGCATATTTTTAACAAAATTTTCATAAGTCACTAACTCTTAATTGTACTGATTTCATGGTTCCTTTTTTACCTCATTAAAAATAAAGTAAATATTAAAATAATAAATATAAATATAAATGAAACACCTAGGAGTAACAAAGGAGGTAAAGGACTTATGTAATGAAAACTGAGACATTGTTAAAAGAATAGAAAGAAGTTCTCTGCTCATGGATTGGAGGAATTAATGTTGCTATATGACCATCTTCACCAAAAACAACGTACAGATTTAATGCAATCTCTGTCAAGATTTCAATGAGTATTCTTCAATGAGATAGAATAAACATTACTGACATTCTTATGGAACCACAAAGGGTTCTAACTAGCCAAACAATTCAGCCCAAAAAAAAGATAAGAAAAAGAACGGGAGTATCACCTTTCCAGGCTTCAAAGTGCACTAAAAAAAACTATAGCAATTAAAACAGTATGGTTCCAAAACTAAAAAAAAAAAAAAAAAAATAGAAAAAGCCTAAGCAAAGCCCACACATCTATCAATAGTTAATCCATGAATATACATTGAATATACAAAGAATATACATCGGTGAAAGAACAGTCTCTTCAACAAATGGTGTTGGGAAAACTGGACAGTCACATGAAAAAGAATGAAACTGGAATGAAAAAGAATCTACAATTTAAACAAAAATAACTCAAAGTGGATTAAATGCACAAATGTAAGACCTGAAACAAATAACAAATTGCCTGACAAAATGACATGGTTCTGGAAACAACTCTTAGATAAGAAATTACTAGCAAAAAATATATAAAATTTTTTCATGTTTCCATTTTCAGTGGGAAAAATATATAAATATACATGAAAATAATATACATAGGTACCAGTGGAAAAGTTGTCATTTGCCGTGCTAATAAATACAGATTTGTTTTATTGAGTTCCTCTTTGCCTTTTTTTAATATATCATATAGTTTTTCTCTTTGACATACTTCACCTCGAATAATACTAAATCCAAATATGTTGTTGCAAAAGGCAGAATTTCATCTTATTTTTAAAACTGAGTAATATTCCATTGTGATTATATGCCACACTTTCTTTATCCAATCATCTGTCTTTGGGTACTTAGGTTGCTTCCAGCTCATGGTTATTGTAAAAAATTTAATCTGCCAGGCACTAAAAATGAGTTTGGTGTTATTTTGTTTCTTATAAACGCTCATGTTTTACAGACTATGAATGCATCTAATGTAGCAACGCATCTAATCCCACATGTTCCTTATAGGAGATTTAACATGTCCATGTCCATGGGTATATTTTAGACCAGAGAAGTCCTAAATAAAATGCTTGTTTTCGCTTGAGGAAAAAATAATTTATTGATATTAGCATTCCTATTATATTCAGTTTCTTCTTTCTCTTTTCCTGGTATCTTTGGCTTGCTGGTTATCACTCTTCTCGTCCTATTAGTTTCTTGGACTCACTGCCATCTATTTAATTACTTTAACTAATTTACATCCAACATTTAACACTTGAATTCATACATCATTATCAATCTATTTTATGTAATTTCAGTGAAGACTGTAATTCCTTAACAGGAATTATCAGTGCTTTCTCTCTCCATTTTAATGTAATTCAAGTCCCTTTTGGCAAGTATGAGTAACTTTTACATAGGAGGGTTCCATTCAATAAAATATGAGAACCTTAATATTTTAATGCTTCTTCATTTAAGTGACTTTTGAAATCCTATACTTTATACTTAATCCTTGTTTCAAAATATACTTTGGAATTTTGATATTTCTTTCCTTGTTACATTTAGCGAAAGTATTGGTTCCTTTTATTTCTCTCTAAGTTTTCTTTGGAGAAATAATGTACACTATTACACCAATAGCTATGACAAATCTCCCAATCCTTTCACCATTGGAAAAGAAAGGTTGAGAATAAAGTCGTGTTTCTATTTTCAGGGCTATCAAAACCATTCTCATTTTTTCTGAGTAAAGTTTATCATTTCTCAAAAATGAAGATGTGGTGCATATACACCATGGAATATTACTCAGCATTCAAAAAAGAGAAACACATGCCATTTGCAGCAACATGGATGGCGCTGGAAGGGATCATGCTCAGTGAAATAAGCCAGAAAGAAAAAGAAAAATACCAGATGGTCTCACTCATAGCAGGAATCTAGAAAACTTAAATAAGGGACCAGGAAAAAGAATAACTATAAGAAAGAAAATATCAAAATCAACAAACAACTATGAACCAGAGACACTCTATGGGGGGTGGGGAGGCGGAGAAAGGAGGGATTGGGGTCAAAATTAGAGGGTTGTAGTTGTATGGGGAATATAAAAATAAAATTTAAATTAAAAAAATTAAAAAATAATTTTAAAAAATGTTGATGTATAAGGAAGAGTCAGGGGTGACTTTGTCAGTGTCAGCACTAAATAAAAGCCAAGTTTAGGTCAGGATGAGACATATGGGATAGAAACTGAAGAAAATTGGCCTAGGGATCTCACCCTCAACATTTTCCTAATTCTTTGAGAGCAGCATGATTCTTTTGACTAAGTCATTAAAGGCTTGTTTCACTTGTTTGTTCCTCAGAGTATAAATAAATGGGTTTAACATGGGGGAGATGGAAGTAGTGAGGACTGACACTCCCTTGTTAATGGTCATCTCATCTTTTGCTGAAGGTTTGACATAGATAAAAATACAACTGCCATATGTGATAGAAATCACAATAATATGGGACGAACAGGTGGAAAAGGCTTTTGTTCTTTGCTGAACAGAGGGGAATCTTAGAATGGTTCTGATGATATACATGTAGGATAAAACCACACACAAGAGAGTCATGATGAAGATCAACACAGAGCAGACAATAAGCAGCTGCTCTAGGAACCTTGTATCTGAGCATGAGATGTTCAGGATAGCATTAGCATCACAGACAAAGTGGTCCAGGGCATTAGAGTCACAGAATTCTAAGTCCAGGACCAAGGAAAATGGTGGGAATAGGGTCAATAAAGTCATCATCCAACAGCAGAAGACAAGCCTTTTGCAGACCTTGTCATTCATGATGCTCACATAGTGCAGGGGTTTGCAGATGGCCACGTACCGATCATAGGACATGATGGTCAGGAGGAAAAATTCTGTTATTCCAAAAAGAGCTATAAAAAATACTTGGGATGCACAAGCATTATAGGTAATGGTCCTGTCGCCTGTTGATAGACTGTACAAGAAGCTAGGAATGCAGGCAGAAGTGAATGAGATTTCTAAGAAGGAAAAGTTTTGGAGAAAAAAGTACATGGCAGTTTTGAGGTGAGAATCCACTAATGTGAGGAGGATTATGGTCAGGTTTCCAGTTATACTCAGCATGTAGGTGATAAGTAGAAATATGAAAATCAGAATCTGCAGTTGAGGGTCATCTGTCAATCCCAGGAGGATGAAGGTGGTTAGTGTTGTATGGTTTCTCATTCCTGGCTCCTGACTTAGTCCCAGTTTGCCTATGAAATTGAGAGAGATAAAACTTGAGAAGATGATGGGCAAAATAGTTTACATGGATTTTGTATAGAAAAATCAAGCATTGGATCTCACATGTATTTTGTGTTGCTTGATAATGAATATTTTTAAATAATTCATGCTCAGCTCTGTGACATGTCATTTGATAGGCTTGAAATCCACCTTTCAAACATTTTTGACCACAATAATGGTAAGATACACATTTTGTAATATTGTGTTCCCGGGCACACACTCATACACACATAAATACGCATTCATTATATCAAGGAAAATTTTCAATAAAATACTGACTCTTAGGATGCCCTGCTCCATTATTTTCTAATTTAGCTTATTTAAAATGAATATATTGGCCTCCCTGGTGGTGCATGGGTTAAAGTCTCCACACTATCAAGCTATCACCGCCCTAGACAGGGAGCTGACCCACATGGCACAGCAGACCTCCCCTATCTCGCCAGCTGCTCCCCTCAGCAGTGTTTCAGTAGATCCGTCTGTTTTGCTCCTACTCTGTCTCTGGTGAATCCTCTCACCACCCCCACCTCTGGCTTTCACCCCAGTTCTTGAATGCATAAAGAAATAAAAATAAATATTTTTAAAGAATGAGTATATCAACAAAATTGATTTTATAATGTACTAAATAACAACAAGTTTTTAAAGATCAATTTTTAAGTATTCTTTAAATAATGAAGTTCAAATATATTTTTCCATGATATTAATTAAATATATTGGAGCCTTTTAATTTAGACTTTGGAATACATTGGTCCATTCTCATTTGTTCCCAAGGGAAGAATGAGATCATGAATTTTAGCCTGTCTTTTTTCTAAGAAAGTTTCCCTTCTCAATAACTGCAATTTTACTCAATTTCATAACCTCCTTGAAGCATTTTTATTCCTAGAGAAACTGAAAACACATGAGGGGTGATTATGACACAAGATGTTTCCTTATCTGTCAGACAAAGCAGAACTGTTCAAAAATGCTTTTGCAGAGCCATGACCAAGCCCACAAAATTTATAAAAGACACTTTAATAATGTAGTGTATATACACAGGTATTGATTTATATGATTATGCACTTAAAATTTATATCATATTATCAATCTGTATTATTTGAATAAAAAGTTTTTTCTTACCTAGTGCAGGGTTGTTGTTTTTAGAATTTCTCCCCCTATAGGGCCTCCCTGGAGGCACAAAGGGTTAAGCACCGCACTATGAAGCAATCCACAGCCTCTGCAGCATGAGTTCGATCCCTGGCTGGCCAGGGAGCAACCCACATGGCTCAGCAGACCTCTCCTGTCTCGCCCACTGCTCCCCTCAGCAGTGCGTTTCAGTAGTTCTGCCTGTTCTGTTCCCCACTCTGTCTCTGATGAATCCTCTCACCCCCCGCATCTCTAGCCTGCACCCCAGCTCTTATATGCATAAATAAATAAATCTTTAAAAAAAAATTTCCCCCTGCAGTAACCGCAACTAAGGGGGAAAAAATCCTATATTGTAAAAAAATAAACAAGGATGTTTAAGGGTTTTTTTTTTTTTAAAGATATTTCCAATGACTTTCTGAAATTGTACCTTTACCTTATCTTCACTGATTCTTTGCTTTGGTGCAGAACCCAGAGAGCAATTTGATACAAACCAAATTCACTTATAAGTAAGAAAATGTTCTGTATCTAGCTGAAGAACATTATTCTTTTTCATGCTTGTCTGGCCGAAAACCTTAGACTCCTTGTTATCAAGTCACTGAAGTTATAATCAGTTCTACAAACATTAAATATATTCACCAAATGACGTCTATCCTTAGCTTCTACAATAATTGTCATTAATCCCTGACTTCCAACCTACTCTTCAAATGCTTATAAGGCTTCTAAACACACCTCTCCGCTGAACCTGTTCTTGGCCAGATTACCTCTGGCTTCTTTAGGTTTAAACAAGGTGTAGCCATTTTTATTTGCACATTTCATTGCATTTATCACCTTCAATTACTTCTTATTTCTTATGACATTCTAGACACCAGGTCTATACTCTATCCAGACTCTCGGATACAGCACAAGAGTACAAGTCTCTTCCTCTGGTCATCTTTATAGCATTATATTTCTCAGATTTCATCCATACGTCCACTTCTCTGCTTCCGCTCAGTTGCATTAAGTCCTAATACTTCAATTTAGCTTTTAATATTTGATAATTTCAAAATGTGCACTTTTGCTATGATCTCTTTGAATGTTGGGCACCTCCATTCGGCAATTTCATGCTTCCTCTAAGTGAGCATGTTCAAAATGGTATGTCTCATCTTTATACCTTTTACTCTTTGCCTTACTAAAACCAAAATCCAGCTACTAAAGCCAAAAACCAGCATTTAATGACCTACATTAGCAGTTGAGATTAAGGTATTTTTTTTCTTAGTTTAGCGCTATGTTGAAGCTCTAATGACATTACAGTTACTTTCACTTGACTTTGTTGTCTCCCTGACTTTAACAGGGAAAGATTTGTCGAGTGCGTGGGTCGGTGGGTGGTCTGATGATGATGGAGTTGTGGAGGAAGAGGCGCTCTAAAATCACATCACAGTGTTTTTGTGAAACTCCTTTATTTGGACTGTCCAGAAAACATTTTCATCTGATCATTTATGTCACCCCCGCCCCCTTCCATTTCTCATTTCTAACAAAAACCTGACTCTTAGTGATTCCTTCTTTTTTTTCTGTTTATACCCTTTGGAGGAGTCTTTCAGAATCTCCCAAAGCACATTAAGACCTTTGTATGGGTTTTGTCACATTAAATGTTTTATAGAATATTAAAAGATAGTTGGAAACAAAAAAAAAAATTCTTGGTTAACATAACTACCAGGGAGCTAAAGGGGTCTCAGATTTAGAGCTAATTGTAGATACCATTTACGCTCAGACCAAATTACATCATTTTTCAGATAAACACATGCAATTTGCAGCAACATGGATGGTGCTGGAAGGGATCATGCTCGGCGAAATAAGCCAGAAAGAAAAAGAAAAATACCGGATGGCCTCACTCATAGCAGGAATCTAGAAAACTTAAATAAGGGACCAGGAAAAAGAATAACTATAAGAAAGTGAAAATCAAAATCAACAAAAAACTATGAACCAGAGACAGTTTAGGGGGGGTAGGGGGAGGGAGGGGAGGGATTGGGGTCAAAATAAGGGGGTTGCAATTGTATGGGGAATATAAAAATAAAATTAAAAAAAAATGTGACAGGGGTAGTGGCCAAGCTGAGCAGGCTGGAAAGCATCTAACTGTATCTTAAATATAATTTCAATAAATTCAGTTGAAAGTTAAAAAAAAAACCCAAATTACATCATTTTTCATGTGAACTCAAGTTTAAAAATACTCTTACACCTCTTAATTTTTCCATCTCCCTGACTCTAATTTAGGGAACTCTTGCTTGCTCTTACTTTTGGTGGACAAAATGTTCTGAGTGGCTCATAAGCCATACCATAACCTATCAACGTAGCACTTAGAGAGTAACTGCATTAAAGCACAACAGTGCCAACCAAATTATCACTCTGTTTAGCAAAAAAAAAAAAAAAATCTATCCTTTTTGGACTTCCAATCAGGCTTCCTTCATGTACCTGTCAGAAACTTATTAAAAGCAGACTTAAATTCTGGATTTAAACCAACAACTGTTGTGTGACTGTTTCTCAGCCAATATCAATTAACACACTAACATCTACTAAAACAGTTTCACTCTCCAGTGCTTCTTCAGAGTCATCAATAAATTGAAAAACATAATTTCTTTCAGAAATTCCAATTAACTGTCTGTGAGTTTCACTTTATTGCTTTAAAGTACTCTTATATAACAAAAGTGGAGTGTCTCTATCAATCAAGTGCCTATGGGCCATAATAAATCTCCGAGTTTACGGACTCCATCACAAAGATGGAGGAATGAGCCTGGTTTAATGTTTCCAGACATGCTGGGAGTACTGCCAAGAGCTTTAGTATCACACAAGTAACAAATTATTAACAAAAGATAAAGTAACATAATTATATTAAATAGAATAGACAGAGATATAGAAAAAGATTACATATCCTTTCTTCCCTTCAATTTTGAGATGGTGACTTAACCATTTCTGGAAACCTTAGAAATTTTCTCCTGAATATCTTGAAAATTTTTTTGATATCATAATTCAGTTTCTGTTTAGTTCTTATATATTTTACAGAGCTGATTAGGTGTGCAGAGATCTTAATTATATGAGCAAATAACTTCCAATTCAGGACTGTTTCTAGAATTCCTTCATTTCATCTATTTTTGGATCACCTGCTATTTATTCACATACTAACCCAACCCTAGCAAATACATAAATCAAGTCAAAATCACAAATTCTTGCTTGTATTTGCTCTATCTCAATTAACTATTCTCATTTAATTTTGGCAAAACATATCAAAATATTTCTAAGAGAAAATAACTTTAAAGTCTTTCAAAGGCTTATGGTCATAATGATTTCAGCTGGTTATTTATACCTGAGCATGCTGAATATTAGAAGGTTGAAGAAAAATAAGTCTGTATAGACTTGTATGTGGGCTACTGCCACTCATGGACCATACTCACCTCACAAGCAGCTGTCTGGGATGGCACTGATTTATCTGACAATATCATCTCTAACACACATGACCAAGACTTTCCTTCCAAAGAATTTGTATGATTTTGAAATTTATTTGCTACTCCAAGATCTGAGGGAATATCAGAAGTCATCTCTGGTTGGGATAGACATGATATTCAGACTTCCCTAGACCATCTAAGAGTTTTTACAGTAACAAAATTAGTGTTTATTTCCCAAACATGAAATCAAATTATTATACCCCAGTCCTCAGTGAATTACACTGGTTCTTTTGTGTATTCTCTTGACCATGATCCCAAAGCATGCAACAGAGGAGACAGTGTCCTCAGAGAATGGAAGTTTCCACAATATCCTTCAGTGCAGGTCATTTACCCAAAATAAACACCAAATGA